GACGGTGAAACAGCTACCTACTCCAGCTCTGTAAAGTCCACAGGAAGTCTTTACCCCAATACAGGCACAATGATTTTGCTTTGCTTTTCAAGACAGGGTTTCTCTGTGAATCCCGGGCTGTTCTGGAACTCACGTTGTAGATCAGGATGGTCTCGAACTCAAGAGATTCGCCTACCTCTGCCTCCCTAGTGCTGGGATTAAAGGCACACACCACTACCAAGGAACAATGGTTTTTCTTTTTCTTTTTGGTGTAGGGGAATGTATTTGGGACTCATACGGGTTAGTAAGGTGCCACTGAGTCACATGTCCCAAGTGATTAATTTAAATTGGACAGTCCACATTTCAGTTCTAAGGAACCGACACTGCTTTCAGGAAGAAGATGCAGTGTCACTTTGAAACTCACCTACATTTTAATGTCACTTTTTGCAAATGTTTAGTACAAACTTCTAAAACTCTTCCAGCCGTATTTCCTATTGCAGTTTATCTCCATGCACTCAAGGTTTTGCTTTTGTTTGTTTTTCTAACTTGTTCCTGTTTCATCAGGGTGGAATGACCTACACAAAGGCAGGAAAATGACTGGTCTCCTGTCCCCACTTGAGCACATCTCTCTAGTTTTTCAGTTTCTCCATCTAGAAATGATTGAGACAGGCATGGTGGTACACATCAGTCCCAGCACTCCAGAGGCAGAGCCAGGTGGATCTGGGATTTGAGAGTAGCCTGGTCTACATAGTGAGCTCCACCCAGCCAGCACTACTCAGTGAGACCCTATCCACACCCCCCTCCCGCAAAAAAAAAAAGCAAAAACAAGATTTACAGCTCAAGATCAATTATAAATACACATTATTTATACATGTGTGTATGTATATATTATGTGCATTTAGAGCGTGTCTCTTTGTAGCCCTGGCTGTACTGGATCTTGATAGGTAGACAAGGGTTGTTTCAAACTCAGAGATCTGTGGACTTCTTCCAAGTCCTGTGACTAAAGGCGTGCACTACCACACCCAGCCACTGACCCAGCATCTTGACCCGGCCTAGCAACTCCTCAGTTTGCAATGAGAGGAAACACAAAAGTGACATTTTCAATTCCTATCCTTTTCTTTTGGCAGAGTAATTTTATCTGAAACTATTAGTTTTAGAAGCTCTGGCTATTGTTTTTGGATAGACAGCCTTTTACTTAGATAAGCCTCACGCTGGGAATACACCTTCCTGGTCACGGTATCCCCTTTTAAACATCCGTTCTAGTAAAAGCTGACTCACTGCAGCTGACGACAATGCTGATATGTAACAAGTTGGAGATAAAGATGTCCATTCCAAGAACTTGAACAATGACAATATCAATGGATGTTAATAAGCAAGGGGGAAATTTTTTGAGGGGTCCCACCTGAAGACAAAGAACTAAAGGAAACTAATGACTGCTAGAATTAACCTCTCCCAGGGATGAGTTCCCATACTGTTTGTCCAACAAAAGGTGGACAGCCCTGAAATCACACATGAAATATGAATTCAGCAATTTTATATTATTTGTGAACGCACACACACACATATGCATGCATGCAACAGTCAAAAAATAGATGGTACCAACTATCTATTATGATGGAGGATGGTACCAATTATCTAGATGGAGGATGGGAGGTTCAGAAGGGGAAAGTGATAAAATTCTATTTTAACTATGTGCTGCCTGCATATATGTGTACGTGTACAAGTATGTAATTCCCATCACAGGGGTGTTGAATCCCCTGGAACTGAATTTAAAGACAGTGAGATGACATGTGGGTGCCGAGGACTGAGCATGGGTGCTCTACACTGCTGAGCCATCTCTCCAGCCCTCATTTCTGGGGTTTTGCTGTTGTTTTAGGCCATTGTGAATGGGATGGTATCCCTTGATCTTTCTCAGCAAGTAACAGAAAAACTAGGAACATCGGTGCATGGTGGCACATACCTTAACCCAACCCAAGTTGAGTGGCCAACCTGTTCTACACTGTGAGACCCTGTCTAGGGAAAAAAAAACAAACCCTAAAAACTAAAGTTTTTGTTCTGTGTCGTAGGACTGTGAGCGGAGGAGGCACCACTGTACTGTATCTTTTGAAGGACGTGCTGGCTTCCCCATCAGTACGCTGCTTTGTTATATTGAGGTCTGTTTGTTTCTCCAGGGCCTGTTACCATGAAAGGGAGGTCACACTTTGTCAAAGGCTTTTTCTACATTACTGAGATTACTGGACTTGAGAGGAATCAGATCAATTGACTTAAATGTCTCTATGCTTGTGTCCCTGGGCTGAAACTTATTGGTTCTGGTATTAGTCCAAAATACTTTTGGCTTTGCTAGAGCTGGGGCAGTTAGAAGCCACTCAAAACTTGGGTCCTCTGATTCAACTTTTGTAATGAATAGAGAATAAGAATTTAAAAACTCATGTTACATGCTGGTTCAATGTGTTCATAGCACATTCATTACTACTTCATGTTAACCATTCAACCTCTAACCTTTCACCTTACTAGCCTAGCGTCTTTCAAACATGCCTTCAATTTTCACTAATTCTGCTTTATTTTAAACTATCTGCTTTGAGCACCACACCCTCTTCTGGCATCCCAGCCCTCATTTCAATGATCTTGCATTCTCACTATAGACTGTCAATGGGAAGGTTATAGTTTTATACACTTAGTCTTGGTTTATATGCACCTGTACTTGACAACATGGTTAGCACTTACTGCATACTAAATTGAACAAATGAAAAGCTTGTGTGAGGAGGAGGAACACCCATTGGGGGCTAGTGGACAACTTGTGGAAATTGGTCCTCTACCATGTCTTCTTTTTGAGACAAGGTTTCTCTGTAGCTTTGGAGCCTGTTCTGGAACTTGCTCTGTAGACCAGGCTGGCCTCTTTAACTCGGAGATCCGCCTGCCTCTGCCTCCTGTGTGCTGGGATTAAAAGGTGTGCCATCACACCTTTAAGATTAAATCATAAGGCTCAGTCAGCTTCCTGACCCCTGGGATTACAGACAGGAATTCAGTCAAAATACTCATCACGCAGGGAGCAGTAAAGACACTTCTGACAGATCAAAGGAAAATAGGAAGAAAACCAGAAGTCAGGAAAGCACAGAACTCAACTGAAACACAAGCATTGATGGGAAAGCCTAAAGGCAGGGAGGAAAAGGATCCAAGCAGAGCCAGTTGGTGCCTCTTCCACTTCATATAGCAACAGTGGAGGGGGGGTGGGGGACTCAGTCATATAGTGGCATGTATTTGTCCAGGCATCAAATTTACTGTATTTGACTTGAGGCACAAACGCAAATCTTTTATGCTCACTAGTTTAACACAATTCTTACTGCTCACATGATTCTCTTACCTCAGCTACTTTTTAGCTAAGGAATCTAGTCGTTCCGATCCTGGTTTGTTAAACCGAAAACCAGCAAAGCATCTGAGAATAATCAGAATAGCAATTTTCATGCTTTCTAGACACCTATCAAAACAAGCAAACAAAAAGCTCCCAAATGACCAGGAGCAGAGAGTCCTTGCCAAGCAAACATCAATAAAAATGCTCAAGACCCCTACTGATGGCTTCAGAGTCAAATCTATAAAGGGCTGTATGTAAACTTCTACCCTCAAATGTTTGTGAAATTCTCTAGTTTTTGGTCGACATCAAGCAACAGAAAACTTTCTGAATGTTACTAGACAATTAAGCAAACTTTTATTGAAGTTTACATTGTGGTACAGAAATACATTTCAACCGATTAAAAGTCCAACACCAATGAAAAAATTATGGCACCAAAATTTCCCCTCTTGCAATCAAACTAGGATCACTATCCAATCTACAGCTTGTTTTCTAGGCTTCTTTCCACACAAACCTATGCAAACTTCAATATTAGATTTCATAATTCTCTAAGATGGGAGAATCAGACCGCAAACCAACAAAATCTACTGGGTTACAAAGTTCAGCTTAAATAAGCACTGGTCCTCCAAACAGCAGTCCAAAACATTAGTTGCTGTGCTCATTATAGAACCACACTGATAAAGCTGATTGGAGGCTTCCCCAACGAAGCCTTCAATCAACAGCATGCTTAAAGTAAAAAATCCAGAGTGTTCCAACCACTTGATTCCAAACCAAGTAGATTCTATGTTTAGAAACGCTAAAAAAGTGTTTCATTATAAATACAGAAGGAACAAGACATCACTGTATCAGTCCAGAAACACCAAGAAAACAGTACAAGGGCAATAAATAGGAAATTTAGTCCATTTTGCTCTTCTCCCAGCTGTTTGTCTACTCTTGGAAGCCTGTATTTCTAGCCCAGCCCCACTGACTCTGTGTGTGCATATACATCTATCTGGCTGAGTGACCCGGACAGTCCTCACTCTTTCATTTGGTCATGTGATCAGCATGGTGAAGGAAGACCACACAGGAACAGATGTAATCAGAACAGCTCACATGCATCACACAAAAATACAACTTCTAAGTGACAGATAGAAATGCCACAGATTCTGTTTTGAATCCAATTTTCCTTTTAGTAGAAACTGATGGCAACAGGTTAAAAGTTGACAGCACGTGCCGAGGTCAGAATGTCTAGGATCGATTTGCTTGACTTAGTGGACTTCCTCCTGTCACTACTTAAGTTAGTGTGAAGACATGGCAGGCACTCCATAGCTAATTAAAGGGCACTGCATAGCCTACTGTTTCTCCCTGCTAACCCACCCCGGAGACGGAATTGGTTTCATTTGATACATTCAGTTTTGTCATTTGTCTTCCACAGTTCATGCCAATGAGAAGACATGTCTTTTAAAAAAAAAAAAGTCAGGGACCATCTCCGAAATCCCCCCCCACCTGCATGGGATATTTTAAGTCCAGTGTAATAGTGTATTGCTTTAATTGGGGGGTGGGGGGTGGACATGAATTGAGGGAAGAGGGAAAGACTTTGGTGAGAGAAATCAATCACAGGATTATAAATGCAGGAACAACCATTAAAACAGTAGAACACAAACAGTCACTGGAATCAGCATTTTCTTACAAGGACTCAACTTGTGGAAGAAAAACTTTAATTGCCATTGCATAAAACACCTGTATGAAGTAAAAATTGGTTTTGAATAACATTAGTAGAGAATATGCTCTAGAAAGTAGAGGTAACTGGATGTAAAAACTCTGGCAGCAATTTAATAGAACAGTCGCAGATGTTCAGTTGAGGCCAGCATCTAATGAGGACGAAAGCCTTGTCTGTGGGGGATTTTGGATGATGCCTGCAGATATATTATACTGTGCATAAACCAAATTGAATCATTTTCACAAGTGTTGTAAAGATTCATACAGTCAAAGTTCTTTTCTACATGCACTTCAATTCCACAGCAAGAGTGGCATAGAACACCTAAACACAGAAGAGAGCATTCATGCAAGATATCTAACTCCTTGATAGAATAATGCATACACTTCAAAATGATTACACTATCATTACATCTAGGGCTTTCTGCAACTATAAGGTGGTGGTCATGGAGAACACGGCCCCCAGTATCAAAATCTAGAAAGCAGCCACCACCTCCTGTGTGTCTTCTCTTTTTGCGTTTTTTCTTCTTCATTTTTCTTAATCAACTCTGCTGTTGTTGCTGCTTCTTAGCAAAACTGGTAAAAACAAAATTGTAATCATTGAACATAGCACTCTGGCAATCAAGACGTTTAAAACCTTCAATCTTCTGGGGTGAAGAAAGCACTGTGCGACATTTAGAACTCTGGGGGAAAATGGAAACAAACATTAGTACTTCCAATCTCTGGATTAATGCTGTGAATAGATGACTGTCTTACTCTAACTGCAGCAGCAATAAAACAGATTTTATTTATTTTCTCAATGCATTTGTGTATGTACATGTCATGAGTTGAGACGGGGAGTTGTATGATTCCTTGCCATTTCCATGTTTTGAGCTAGTTGATGTGGTGCTGAGATCTGAACTTGGGTCCTCTGCTAAGGGTGCTCTTAACTGCTGACTTTTCTCTCTCCAGTCCCAAACTAAGGCATTTTTTTCTTGTGGGCTGAAAAGCAGGCTGACTTATGGTTTCTGACCAGGCTGTCAACAGGGAGCAGTGGTAGAACAGGAGTTTGCTAACTGGGTGCCATATAGAACAAGGATTGATGAAAAATCTAATAAGTATGTAAGGTTTCTCTGCCCCAAGTAACCCCAGGGAAAGGCACCCAGCTGTCACCGTTACACGTTCGTGGCAATCCATTACCCCATTCACCTTGAGGTCTTATCTAGCAGCCAGATTAGTTGGGCTGGGAAGTGTTTGCTCAGCATGTGCAAGACCATGGATTCAGTTCCTAATATGGTCAAAAGAGAAAAAGAAAATATAGAAGTCAAATTACCTGATTAACAAACAAGGTGGTCACAAATTTTCCTGGCTTGAAGACTTCCACAACCTTCCTGATCAGGTCATCATAGGAGGTCTGACTTAAGTTTGTTTCAAAGCTAACATAAGAGAATTCTGGTTCTGGAGTGATATGAATAGTCCAATATGTTCCCTTAGAGAAAAATTTGTTATTAGTAATACAAAGGGAAAATATAAATACTAAAACATTATTGAAGATTCTAATTACTTACATCCGATTTCATTCCATTCATCGAGTAGCCACAAGGATTGAACAGCGTGGCGTCAATGACAGAACCTGGTATCAGGTCACGAATTCCACTCTCACGAGTGACATCCTTTGCAGTAACACCATCTTTCATGTAGAACTGGTCCATAACTGCTGGGTCAAGCTCACTCATCAGAATTTCCAGGGTTTGATCTGGCTGACTGATTACTCGGCTCTCTGGGAAATCCAAAGTATACAAGTACCTAGACAGAAGTAAAACATAACCCATAGACGGTTCAGAATAAGCCTTACATTGGTTCTTTCAAGAAGCCTATGCCCAGCCGAGTAGTGATGGTGCACACCTTTAATACCAGCACTTGGGAGGCAGAGGCAGGTGGATGTCAAAGTTCGGGGCCAGTCTACAGAGTGGGTTCAGCTAGGTCTACAGAGAAAAAAAAAAACCCTGTCCCAAAAAACAAAAGAAGCCCATGTCTCCCTCTTATAAGGGCCACACTTCAAAACCTTACAGCAGTTGTGCATGCCCGTTAAGATCAAGTCAGTCAACATTCTAGCCTGGAGTGGAAAGGGGGCAGAGGTGTGATGGCTCCTGAGGGAAGAAAAGCCAGCTTTAAGAGTTCTAAGTGGCTGACCAAACTCCAGTGGATAGCTGCTCAAACACCCAGGAATCCAAACACTCACTGTACCACAGAACCACACCCCACCCTTTTCCCTTTTTGTCTCACTACATGGCCTTTGCTGGTCTTGTTCCTCTACCCTCAGCCTCCAGAGTAGCTGGGATGAGGAAGCATAGGCTAGCAAGGTCTAGCTTAAAACAATACTTCCATTTCCTCAAAACCCACACATATGGGCAACAAAACCAAATCAAAATTACATACCAACAGTCAGAATTCATGCGTCCCATACAATATGCTGCTCCATCTGTAAGGAAAGAAGATATTTCTAAAAACTCACTTAACAGGATGGTTCATTATTAGCCATTCAATAAACAGTATTATTTGCCACCTATTAAAAACATCAGTGAAGCGAAATTAAAGTAGGTGAATTCTTAGAATGCTGTTTTAAAGGTCTGCTGTATATGTATGAGCTTGCTGGCACCACACGGCATCACCATGTGGACACCAGGAACCAAATCCAGGTCTTGGCAAGAGCAGCAACTGTTCACACCACCCAGCTCCTCCCCTTTGCTCTTAAACACTTTTTTGGGGGGAGAGGAGGGCTGCCACTGATACTCTTGAAATGTAAATGGTTGAAAAAAACTACACCCTAGTCTTCTAATCAAGATAAGCTGTTTTACTTACAGATCCTTCCCAAACTGTTTCAAAATTTCCCTTAGCACAGTAAACCAACTTGGAAATGACACCAAGTAATACCCACCACTCTCTGGCAGCACGCAGTGTCTGAGGTCATAAATTACTGGCAAATGTCTGAAGTCTTTTTATTTCTTAAAGTGTTGAAGATCAAATTCAGGGCCTCATACACGCTAAGTATGCGTTCACCACTATTTGTGAGCTACACATATCTTACCCCCAGACTTTCACCTTTAAATCCATTCCCGTAAGTGATTTTGCAAAGTTATTAAGACGTCTTAGGTTTAGTGCCATCTACCTCATTTTTTGAGACACTGGCCCTACCGTCTGCAAAATAGGCTAGGCTGTGAGCCACAGAACCTACCAGTCTCTGCATCTACAGCACCAGCACTACAAACTCGTTCCACCATACCTGGTTGAGCCTGTCCTTATTTTAAATGTAGATAATGGAGATCAAATTTGGGTCCTTTTATAGCAAGCAACTTACAATTAATTGTACTATCTTCCCAGCTGCTGTTTTTGAAACAAGTTCTCACTATCTGGCCCAGACTAGCCTTGAATGTTGAGGCTCAAGGGCTCCTTCAGTCTACTTAGTAACCAGGCAACAGGCACATGCCACACTGTCTTGGTTCCATGACATTCTGTCCACCTTAACAGCACTGACATTATTTTTACAAGTGCACAATACAACTTTTAAGCCCACACAACCAAAATTTGGCTGAAATCTTTAACATCCAGGTAAAGAAAAACTAAGCATAGAATATAGTGCTCCCTCCCCCCAGTAGCAAATAATTCAAACCATCCCTGGAGTCCCAGTCCAGCCCTAGACCTCAAAGACGGTGAGACCCTGCTTCAGAGATCACAACAAAACACCCACGCATCTTTTAATAGTTGCATCCCCAACTTTAAAAGAACTACTACATTCTATTTTTACTTACTTGGGAAAATTGCATTAAGAAACTCAATTTCTTCCTGGAAATTCCGGTGTGGGTACCCTTGGTGAGAAGGCTTCATGAAATTCTTACGAGAATAAAAGAAGCTCTTAAAAGAAAGAAAGAAGAGAGATCTTTAAGATGTTTCCCCTAAACCAATTTTATACATATAGAAAAGACGAGAAAATAAAAATGTTACAAATATTCCAACTGTGAAGCACAAATTAGCGGCCAGAATGACATTAAAATGCATACTTTCATTACTGCAATGTACTTTTTAAGCTGGAATGGAAAACAAATCTCACGATTCAGGCTTACATGGAAAGTGTTTTCTAATAGCCAACACTAAGTGCCTATGTTTTAGATTTCTTACAAAGATAGGTGAGCAATTACTCATAACTGTACTAGTGGGGCAGGTATGTTGATTCACAGCTTCAGTCTTAGCACCAAGGACACTAAAGCAAGAGAGTGTAAGTTTGAGACCAGTCAGGGCTCCAAAACCAGACCCCCTCCCTTTCACTCCCCAAAGTAGGCTAAGTGCAGTAATGTGCACCTGTAATTCCAGAACTCTGGAAGAAAGGCAAGAGAACAGAGTTTGAGACAAGCTTAGGGTATGCCCAAAGCAGCATTATCAGGGCAGGTAGTATAGTTTAGTGACAGAACATTAGATCAGCACCATGTGAGGCCTAGGGTTCAGTCCCAATCACAGGTGCAAAGAAACCATTTCTGACATGTCACCAACATTCATTTCTTTGAGGTAAGATACTGAAACTTAACCAAAACAGAAACCATTATCAGTTTTAAATGTATCTATGTACTTACTTGAATTGAGTCAAACCCACTGTAATCCCTAGCAAGCTTCAACAGGGGAACCAGTGCTTTCAGTAAGAGGGTGGTACCACATGTCTTCAAAATGAAACGTCTCTTGGAGACAAACATGCTACTCTCACTGCAACACAAAGGCAAGCGATCATTACCCCAGCACGTATTACTGAGAATACAATTAGTGTAATGGTGCATCGATATTTGTATTTTTTACATCACCATTGGATATACTTTATATGTATCTATCACCAAAACCTAATAATCTACAACAAAATTAGAACTAGAAAAATTGTTAGCTCTATATCCTTTTATAGTCCATGTCTAAAACGTACATCTAGTCATTCCTCAGTCTTCTACACACACACACACGTTAGATTCTAAGCACGTGGGAGTACATGCATTTACCCTGAGATTGTCTGATTTTATTCTCCTTTACAGTGAATAGTATTCAGTTTTATTTCACACTCACTCTTATGTGTGGATACCACACAATAGCCTAACCAAGTACGGCGGGCAGAGCTGTGTGCTACCACTATTTACTAAACAATACTTTTACCTCCCCTTGGACACAACTGCTCTCACATGGTTTTTCATTTCTTTAACTAAATAACAAGCCTTTTGAGTAAATCAATTCTTTTGTATAACATTATATACTTGGCATGCTGCACAGTAAACATTTTGACAAACATTTGCGTATGCCAACACAGACTTAGTTTTAAAAAAAGATATTATGTATACTTATTGCAAAGTCCAAGGTTTACAGTATAAACTATTCAAAACATTTATTGGTTAAACCAACCTTGTACCTAATTTTTCATCCAACAATTGTGGGAACCATGACAGCTAGGTAAGGCAAGGCTTCATAAAAAACAAACAAAAAACCTATCTAGAAACAAAAAAAATGTATTTCACACCAGATTCTTAAAGTGGAAAACAGATTCCGGTAGAGGAAGAGTGGTATTTCACAAAGACTACGATCAGGACAGCAACTCAACACCTACAGCACTTACCTGAGTACATAAGCTTCCTGCTTGTCAGTCTTTGTCACACTTATGATTGAGCATTGCACATCCTTCAAAAGGACATCCCACTCAGATCTGTTAATGCAACAAAACCCACAATTAACAACTTAAGACCTTAGTCCTCCATTGTTAGAGATAGAACCTGGTCCATAAGAGGTAAGTACTCTACCACTGAGTTCTATTCCTAGGCTTTTAAGAATTTTAAACAGAAACTGTAACACAGTAACTAAGACCATTTAACCTACATTTGAGATAGTCTGGAATTCATGTACACAGGCTGGCCTAGACGAGATCCGCCATGCCTCTGATCACTGAGAAAGCACTATTACAGAGTGTGCCTCCACACTGACCACTTCACTTTTTGTTCTATCTTAGCTGCAGATGGTTCTAAGCTGGGAACCCAATCCGTGTCCTCGTGGGAGGGCAGTCACTGCTCTGTATCATGGGGTCCTCTCCAGCTCTCCATTTACAATTAGAAGCAAAGAGTGTGCATTTCTTTTTTTTTTTTTAAATCATGCTCTTTTTCTTTTGAGACAGGGTTTCTCTGTGTAGCCTTAGCTAGCTTTGGACTTGGGAGACCCACCTGCCTCTGCCAAGTGCTGGGATTAAAGGTGTGTGGCACCATCACCCAGCTTTTTTTCCAGTATTTTAACAGTTACTTCAATACTTACATTCTAGACCTTATACTTCTTTGCTGGGATTTGAGTTGTTCTTTGTACAGGGTACAAACAAACATCCTTGGCCTTTACCCACTCCCACCCAAGCAACCGAAACGAAACATCTCCAAATATTGCCAAATGTCTCCTGGAAACAATTGTCCCCAAGTAAGAAACACTGACCTAAGTCAATGAGAAAGTATCCTTTAAAAATAAAAATTATATAAGTATGTACTCGATTTACATATTTGCTTTTACTAAGCTTTGATAATTTAATCATTTCCAATCACTAAACTAGTATGTGATCCTAATGGGTTGGTTTTGTTGGCTACCAATTTGAATCCTATGCTTAAAATCTGCAACATCAAGACTTACAAACAGACCAATTTGGTGAAACTTAATATAGGCTAGGTGAAAGTTAATATAGGCTAGTAATCTTGGTGCAGGATTAGGAATAAAGCACATATCTTCAACCATTATTACTGATTCCACTGGACTTTCTCAATAGATAAATACCTAACTCAGAAATGCCTTAGCTAACTATAAAGTCCCGTTGTCTTCATATCATGGACAGCAATTAAACCTTTCCTCTTTAATAAAAAAGAAAAATAAAAACCCTGGCAGCACACCTTGTAAAGCTAGCAGATAAATATTCCAAGGCAGACAAATGCGTTCTTAAACCACTCAGTTCTGCCTTTATCAGACAAAAATTATAGATGTTAGAGGTTCCAACAAGGCATTATTTACAAAAAGAGTATCTTTCCACAGACATTTTTCTTGCCACATTTCTTTTTTTGAGTCTTTGGCCATAAATGTATGCACCTTCATAAATCATTTGGTTGCTAAGCCAACTGATTTAAGAGTTTTAAGTCAGTGCTTCTCTTCATCCCATGATAGAAGAAAAACTACCAACTACTCTGAATATCACTATTGAGGAAGAAGCATGACTGGTTGCTACTAAGATGGAGAAAACAAACACAATATAGTTATCTCTTACTAAACAGAATTGAACTGTCTAGTCAAAAAGCTGTGTGCTGCTAAGCACCTGTGAATATGCTTCTAACCTAGCACTGGAGAGGCTCAGGCAGCTCCAGGCCAGCCTGGACTGCACAGCTGTCTGGAAACAAAGTGCCTACGTAGTACTTATCAGGCTGAATTTCAATCCCAGCCCTCCTCAAAGTGAAAGTGAGCAGCAATTACGGAACAGTATTTCTCACACACACACACACACACACACACACACACACACACACACACACACGAAAGTTAGGTCTAGAAGAACACTCCCAGCATAACTAATAGCTTAAAAAAGGAAACCCTATCAAATGCACAAATCAAGAGCACATTAACATTAAACAGTCAAATACTCTACCATTCCACCGAAGTCAAGACCACACAGCTAAAAAGGCAGAAGGGAAGCTGGAGAGATGGCTCAGTGGTTAAGAGTACTGCCTACTCTTAGAGGACCTGGGTTTGATTCTCAACACTCACACGGAGGCCCATTACACAGACATTTATTTCTTACCCTACCACATCGTTATTCTTTGATCATTTTTATATTGCATTAGGTATACATAAGCTACAGACTATTTTTTAAAAGACTTATTATTACTCTGTGTGAGTGTTTTGCCTGTATGTATGCCTGCGTACAATATACATGCCTGGTGCCCACAGGGACTATGAAATCAGATTCACAAAATGGACCCATTTTGCTTCAAGGGTCTCTTCTATTCCCTCGAACCATACACAAAAATCACTTTCAGGTGAGTTTTGTATCTAAATATGAAGTGTAAAACCATCATGGGAAAACATCTTACAGACTGAGATTAGCAAAGATATTTAAAATAGGGTATTACAAGAGCTACCAGGGAAAATTATTACCAATAAACTAAATGTATGCACATGCATGCAGTAACCAGATGACAATTTAGAAGTGTCTGTCTCCCTTCAGACAGGGCTCATTAATCAGCCCACCTCTTACCAGACCCTGCCTCCAAAGTATGAAGCATGATTAATAAAAGCTCAGAGAGAGAAATTGGGGTTAAACCAAGTATAAACTTAACAAACAACAATAACCCCACAAACAGAATCAAAACAAAAAAAAATTGCGTTCTGCACTGCAGAGATTAAGTTCAAATCCTAGTACTTGGCCAACTCCGAGTTATCTGCCCAGCTCTAGGTTTGTTTGTTGAGGCAGGATCTCACTCTTGTAAAGTCCCAGTCTCCTGATAGGATTACAGGTGAACAGACAATGGTGTAAACCTGAAATCCTAGCAACAATCCTGACAATATACAGGTAAGACACCTCAAAAATGAAACAAAAAGAAAAATATGTGAATCTAAATTTACTTCTTAAAAGAGCATTCCAAGAATACAAGACCCATGGGGGGTGGTGTGCTCACTTTGTAGATCAGGCAATCTGCAAGCTAAAAGGTCCAGGGCCTCTGTATCTGAGCACCAGGATTAAGGCACATGTCACCACATCCAAATTTTATCAATCATGTCTACGTGTATCTGGCATGCGTGCCACAATGTACTTGTGTATGTCAAAGGACATACTCTGGGAGGTCTCTCCAACTTTTATGTGGGTTTCTTGGATGAAACTCAGTTTTCCAGGTTTGCTCAGCAAGTACCTTTAACCACTTGAGTTCTTGCCAAACTGAAATCTTACAAACACGAGATGTGTGTGTGTCTATGTAGTCCTGGCCACCCTGGATCTTGCTCTGGTAGACAGAGCTTCAATATGCCTGCCTCTGCTTCCAGGGTGCTAAGATTAAAAGCAGGTACCACAACACCCAGCATTGCATTCTTGAAAGCCGCCCCCCAGGCAATCTATTCCTCCTTCTGTTAGGCCTTCAGCCTACCACTGACCAGTCTTGCCAGATGAGTTTGCACTTCTGTTTTACGGAAATGAAATCTAACAGCGTGCACTTTCGTCTGGCTTCTTTTCTCAGCATATCTGTTTAACAGCACTCATGTGTGGTTTTTTTTTGGTACATATATATGGTTCATTTATTGTTGGGTAGCATTCTGTTGCATGGTTTTACAACTATCCATTTGCTCTTTATTTTATTAAAGGTATATACCAATTCCTAACCACCCCTCTTTCCTTTTGGGGGCTATCACAAAACTGCTATTGAAATTCTTAAGTCCCTTTATGGAAATAGATTTCCTGCTTTTGCTAGCAAACACAAATAGACCAATCGGATCCTTCTTAAAACTATACACAACCTGGTTATGTTAAGGTGGTCCTCTTCTTCATTTGCAAAATTTATGAAAAAACAATTCTTATTTTCTAAACTCATGGTGTTTCTGTAATCTTTTACTATTTCAAATTTATTCTTAATTCTTTCTATATGCTTCAAAAGAGTGCTTCTTTATTTTAACTGGTCCGTTGATCTTTTAACTTTAGCTTCTATTCTGTTCACATTTCGATGGCCACCGAAGGCAGCATTTTCAGCAATGACACGTAAGAACTTTCTGATTATCAAATACTACTCACCACAACATAGTTTAATGAGTTCCAAGACGAGCTTGGTCTACAAGTGAGTTCCAGGCCAGCCAAGGACATATGGGGAAACTGTCCTAAACATAAAACCCTTAAAGTTTATTTTGTTCAAGTTTATTGGGCTCAAAGTCTGGGTAAAAATAACTCAGTGGTGGTGCATGCCTTTAATCCCAGCACCCGGAGGCAGGTGGATCTCTGAGTTCGAGGCCAGCCTACAGGACAAGTCTCAGGAAAGCCAGGGCAACACTGAAAACCCCCACAAAATACCAAATTGCTATTTGACACCTGTAACACATAGCATTTTATATCACTAATACTGGTTCTCCCCCACCCCAGTCTAAAAAAAGGAACAGAATCAAAAACTGTTAACACCTTGATTGCGGTAAATATCAGCTTACTTAATCCTATAACCCCATGGTGTTTCCATTTCAGAACCGATGCAGGGCTCCTCCAATAGACTTCTTGTTAAGGTACTGACTGACTAGGTAGGTTTACCTAACACCTACTGTTTTTCAGACACTTTTAAACCCTCATAGTAAATAACCAATGCACGACTTCTTTATTTTGAAAAAATAGTTAACTTCTTCCGAACAGGTTTCAGCTACTACTTGCATAAGCGTAGCTGAAAAGGGCTTAAGACTATAATGTGTGTTAAATGTTTACGAAGCATGTTAAAAAAAAAAAAATCACACTGAAACTCAGTTGTTTGGTTACACACGAAGTGTGTTTTTCAAACATCCTCAACCCAAGACACACATACACACAGTTTATTTGCCTACATGTGCCTGTGCTCCACGTGTGCAATGCCCACAGAAGCCAGAAGAGGGATGTCAGAACCCCCAGAATCAGAGTTACAGATGGTTGCACGCAGCTCTGTGGATGATGGGAATTGAATCCGGGTCGGTCCTCTGGAAGAGCCTGAGCATCCAAGTGCTCTTATCTGCTGAGCCACTTCTAGAGCCCCATTCTGGCATCTTAGACTATGATGTTGTGACAGATTTCCGGCATCCAAATGTTTTTGTAGTTTCCTAGAGAATCCCGTCATTCAGTTCGTACCAAGATTTTCTAGGAAATAATCCTGGTAGCACTAGCTTTTCGAGACGCCCATCACAATCACCAGTTTACCATTTGTGAAAGCAACAAGCTTCTCCGTGATTATTGAGTTTAACGGTGAGGTGTTAACAACTGAAAACGGCACACAGGGCAAACGAGCCACGAAAACTAAAACCATAACGCCGCAGCTACATTTCCCCCTACAATGGAAACCTCCGCAGCAACTAGTAAGAACTGCGTTTCCCAGTGTGCCTTAAAGTCTCGGCAGCACGTGGCCGCCGGGATTCTCTTCTCTCTTTTTGTCAGAAGACGGTTGCAACGCGCAGCCAACATTCCTAAAACGCCCATTGGTCCACACCCTGGAGCCAGGCTCCCGGAGGGCCCAGGAGCTCATTGGTCCGCCTCTCAATGAACCGGACCACGCCGGTTCCTCCGCCACCCTAGTGGCGGTGGCGACCCGAGGAACACCGAAGCCCACGTCGCGGCCCCCAAAGCCGGCAGCTGAAGCCACCGCCGCCGGGTCCATACATTGTCACCATCAGCCGCACTTCTACGCGCGATTCCATTCTCCCCCAACCGCTCTGCGCGCGACATCCTGTGGTCGCGTGTGACCGCCCGGGTGCGAGCGGGGCCCCAGGTCCCTTTGCTCCCGCTTAAGGCATTAAATAGGTCCCGGGGCTGGCCGACCTCCACCCCGTGAAAGCGAACAAACCCCTCCGTCGCCGCGCTCTCCCGGATCTCCCCTCAGTAACAGGTTACACAACCCAAGGTCAGGAGACGCGGGGGCAAAGCCCCGGACGGTTCCGGGGCGCTCTGCTGCAGGGCACGTCGGGGCGGCGGCGGGCCCAGCACTGCGACACGGCCGCTCCCGCCCAATCCCGC